ATTGTACCTATTTTATTAATATTTTCGATGTGGATATTAAGGCTAGGTCCATTACGGGTATTTACACCTAAACAAATTCACAAACACGATACCGACTAACACTGCAGAAGCACGCATGCAAAAGATTTAGAGGCAAAAGTCGGAGAGTTTGAAATCGCAGAAGGAGAGACAGAAAAGGACAGGTGGAGAGAAAGAGAGCGAAGAGCGTAAGCCACGCGTCGTACGCGCGTGCACATCGAGAGACACCAAGCTGAGTGGAATTTGGATGAAAACAAATGTTTACGAGCGAATACATTGTTATTTCAATGTAAGTTGATTCCGAAGGCGAGAGACAGACGAGAGAAGGATGGTCTCGGTACAGTCAGACTACACGCGCGCTACCGACTTAAAATATGTTATTTCCTCTTCCATTCTTCCATTAACATTACACCATTCTAGTTGTAATTAAATTTATTTCCTCTTTACACTTAAATAACAATATATCACAAGCATCAACATATAAAAGTGGATATTTGCGTCGCGGCTTGCCCGGCAAGGGCGGGGCGAGCTTTGCCGACACACTTTCCTGTTGCATTGAGGGTCGCTCTTCAAAAATTTTCTATGAATGTATAAAAATATTATTGCTCATCATCAAGCACCAACGCGCCACTAGCTGACTACGTTTCGAAATAATTTAGAATTCAATCTCTCCTACAAAAATGTATGAGCGCGAATGATACGGTGTTTCGAAGGGATTGTTTCCTGTCTGGGGGTAGTTCGGGGGTGGAATGTGGCGGATGTGACATAACAATCGAGCAGCTACATCATGTATTCGGGTATAATATAACAAAGACGGCGTAACAACTCCCCTTCACTGCATCACGCACTTGCTCTCGATCTGAGATTTCAATTCGTTCACTTGCGTTTCGATGGTGTTTTTCAGTTCTGAAATTAAATAAAAATAATTTCATTCTCTTATTTCTCTTTTCCATGAGAGTAAAAAAAACTGTTCAATCTGTATCTATTGAAATATGTTGTATGTATTGAAATAACTCAAAAACTATTGGACCGATTTCAAAAATTCTTTCACTATTAAAATATACTATATTAGTGAGTAACATTGGCAGTATTTTTTTTTTTATATTCAATTTCTCGCAGACGAAGTTGCTAGCAGCAGTTGTAAGTAAAATAAAATTGCAAAGACAAACGCCTTAAATCTTTGGAATTGTTTTTGTTACTTACTGGTGAACTCATCCTGGTCCTCGAGCTCGGCTTCAGCGGCGAGCTCCTCGGGGGTCTTCTTCTTCCTCATGAGCGGGTTGTCGGGCTCCGCCTGCTGCTGCTCCACCATCTCCTCCTTCTTGGGGATTTTGTACTGAAAACATATTTATAATTTTATTAGAAAACATCGACATTATTTGTGAATCTGGAGAATACCCCTACTTCTACTCAATACTACAAGAGAGCGCACACACCTTTGACTAAACTATCGCACAACTGTTTCGTCACGTTTTAATACCTATAGGAGTTCTAACTAATCAGTTGAATTGGCTGTGAAACAATCGACAATCACACAACATGTTTGCGATAATTTATTCAAAGGTGTGCGCACTCTAATTGTTAGTGAATAGTCGAAACTGACTTTTACGAAAGTTAAATTTATTTAATTGGAAACTTGTATATAATTACACTTGTGAATAAATAGAACAAATAGGTCTGTGGATCAGCTTATGGTCGTCAAAATATAACGTCCTCGTTCTCAATATAATTATGTAGGTTTCGAGTCTTTTAAATAAAAAATAATGAATTCATTAACTATACTCAAAATCGTTTCTTATCAGGTAGTTCCGTTAATGTCTATTAAATAGCTTAGTAACTCGTAATGTTATAGTTTAAAATCAAACAAAATTTAATCAAGATAGAAGTTCTGTCTACCCTCTTCATTTAATAGTATTATATAGCGAAGTGACATGTCATCAGCTTTGATTCAAACAAAGCGACGCTCTGACTTGATTGCGTTATTGTCTGTAAACTTGGTCCCGTACACGGGGACAAAGCGACCCAGCGATACAAGCAACGCCATCTATTGTCGTGTACATCACATACACAACATATAGAACAATCAAATACATCAACTTCATAAATATACGCTTTAAAAGACAATAGGAACTTTGGACGACGTATTGTAATGTGAATAATATTAACACATATCAAAACAGATCTCATGGCGAATTTTAAAAATTAAAAATAGAGCCATCTATTGACAAAAAGAGGACTTTAATTTTTTTGTAAAATAAATTGAATTAACGGTTTTATTGAATGTACTTCATGATTTAGGTTACGTTAATAAAAACGATTGGTCGTAGAATTCGTTACGGAACGCGACATCGAACCCAGTCATTCTCGTGTTGAGGTCTAATTTCCCAGTGGAGAACATATTTCCTTTGGAGCTTTGCGCACAGTGTTCTTACGTCAGCGATAGTGGGATTTTCATAATAAAAATTATATACTAAGTGTAAAAATGTGAGGGACATTTAAAAATCAATAAATAGTAATATCTAATGACTAGCTTTTGCCAGCGACTCCGTCCGCGTAAAAATTTAAAATAATAATATAGCAATGAAAAGATGTAACCTATGTTATTCACAAATAAATAACTTGTTTAACGGTGAAACGATGTTTAAAATCGGCCTAGTAGTTTTTGAGCCTCTCCATTACAATCAAACAAAGTTTTCCTCTTCGTAATATTAGTATAGATTTTTAAATTATCGCTAAATAAAAGGTAACAGCGTCTTGTTTTTAAACAATAAATATAGAAGAAAAAACACATCCATTGGGAACCAAACCCACTATCCAAACAGTAACAAGCTTGTAATATTCCACTCCACTAAAGAGGACATTTGCATTAAAGAATTCGCAAGCTTAAAGTCTGCCTTAATCTTCAATTGATTAGACGCAGCCTGTAATTTGAAGGGTATTTTTTCTGCCCCCCGGGATCTCATTAGACGTCTGGTAGAAAAGCGCCCCCTGGTGTTTGTATCGTAAATATGAAACGTGATTTCTTTCAATTCGTGCCTTTAGCTTGTCTGCAATTACTTTTAATTAAAGCAATTTAGATTAAAAAGAAGATTTTTTATGCTTATTATGCTTTTTACAAATTAACAAAATTATATTTCAAAGTAACGCTGTGTTTATTGTTTCTCTAGAAGTATATATATGCGTTTTTTATTTTGTATAGATAATGTTTGCATCTTTATTATTAAAATTTACTTTTTATAAGACTGTTTTAATTAATTATATAAGTCCTATATCTAAATTCAAACTATTCTGGTATAAGTTAGAGCGCGCACAACTTTGACTGAACTATTGCACAATTGTTTGATTGTCGATTGTTTCGCGGCAAATACAACTGTTTAGTGACACAACTAAAAATCGAATAGTGTGCGCACTTCCATATAAACTCAAAGGAATCAAAGCGAGACTAAACAGTTGTGCGATATTTTAGTCAAAGGTCTAATATTAAAAAAAATGTTGACATTTCAACGTAAAGTCGCGAGCATTAGCTCTTTCGCTAACAGGCCTCTTTATCAATTAACTCTTTTGAAGTTTTTCTAATAAATTTATTTGAGTTTGTTCCGCGGCCCATTACCCGGATTACTAAGCTTTTAGGGGTGCGAAATATATACGCAAATAATAATTATTGTGCTAACAGTTTTAACCCAAATTATATTTAATGAGTAACCCTAAGTAAGATTAGGTGTAATTTAATTTTATAAGCTTTTGTGTTTAGTATTGTAATATATTTATATTACAGTTAATATTGTAAATTGTCTCTTACTTTATATTATACTAGCTGTTGCTTGCGACTTCGCCCGCGTGAAATTTAAAAGTATTAAAAAATACAGCCATGTTACTCATAGATAAATTACCTTTCCAATTGTGAAAGAATTTTTAAAGTCGGTCCAGTAGTTTTTGAGTTATTTCAATATATACAAAAATACAAATCTTTCCTCTTTATAATATTAGTATAGAAATACGAAACTTTATGGATAGGAGGATATTGATGTTTACTACTTCATATCTTCAGAACTCCTCAACGGATCTTGCTGAAATTTAGTACAGAAGCAGAACATAGTCTGGAATCATATGTACAATGTACCTTTAAATTTTTTAAAACGGCTTGATCGATTCTGACGGGACTTTTATTAGAAGGTAATGTATGAATGTGGTAGTAATTTAGGTTATTTTTTATCATTTTATTTTTTTTAAATCCAACCTGAGATGTCCCAAGTAAATTTTACTGCACAAAGAACGTATTGTAAGGCTCTCTCCATAATTGTCTGTTACCGTCTGCGTGTCTATACATATAATTTTTTTTTAACCTAATTAGATCAAAAAGGCGTGGAGTGTATCGCTGATCCTTTTTTTTGGACGACATTCCGCTATTTCATACGGAATGTCGTCCATTTGTGTGGTGTATGTGTGTTTTCGCTGTGAGGTGAGTCTGTGTGTGTATTGTGCAGTGTGCTTAAGTTAAACTATACATATAATTTGTGAACGTACAAAATGCGTATATACGTAGAGGGAGTTTGAGAGTAGCACCAATGGTAGAAGAAAGTAAGGAGTACAAGTTTAGCATGTTATGGGCATTTGAGGAGAGATGTATCGCATGTAACAACGTTAGTTATGAGTAAGGTACACCGGTAGAGGTAGACATAGAAAGATATGGATGTATTGCGTGTAAGGTGACATGATCAAGAAGGGAGTGATGACTGAGATGACGGATGATAGAATTAAGTGGAGGACAGAAAACTTTCGCGCCGACCCTACGGGAGTAGGATAAGGAGGATGATAATGAGGTAAGACTATAACAATGCAAATGTTATTGCAGTCGATAACCCACAGTTAAAATGTAAAACAGGAAGAATATGATAAGACCCACAATGTAATAAAAAAATAAGCAACTAAAAACACGTAAATAAGCAACATTCAAAATTGATATGAAATTAAACAAATTCTTCTTTCAGTTTATTCTTCTATCTTGTAACGATGGTTTAGCTTCAAAGAAGTCAACCTGACTCGATTAGGGAGTCGCGCATTAAACGGACTCCCTACTAGAGTCAATTTGACATCCAAGAGCTTCTCTTCTGAATTTCTTTCTTCTTTTATTTTCTATCTTCTAGAAGAAATACATACAAAATGTTATGCGAACACATTATACAAAAGTCGTAATATTAAATACTTGCGGTCGTCCTGACTATTTTCATTGTGGCATTATAACCTACGTTAATCCGTCCAATTCTTCTCATTATTACTTTACTAATTACTAATATTATAAATGAAAAAGTTTAGCTAAATGGATGGATGAGTGTTGCAGTTTACTGCCTAAACGGATCTCAATTTTGGCAAAGATATAGAAAACTCTGGAAGCACACATAGGCTTACTTTTGTTTGTTTATAACATTCGTGAGATATTACGATTCCTGCCTTTGTACATTACATAAACATCATTTTGCCTTGAGAATGAATTATTTAAAGTTTAAATTAAATTCCTCATATCTGTACCAGTTAACAATCTTACCTTTTAACCCTCCTCAACGTAAGGGAAATAGTTACGAGCTAGTTAATTAACTGGCAACTTGATGACAGATCGATCTCCGCCTTTTGTTTTAAGCTCCCAACATAAAAGATTTATCTCCTATTCATTCGAAAGGGTCGGTATACATAGCTATAGTTATAAGCGTGGGTTTTCACTATGTTGTGTCTTTCAATAATGATAGCAAGATTTAAACGGGAGTGTATATCTGCAGAAATAAAAAGTGGCCAAAAAAAAGGATCACCTTTCCTTCAAAGGCCTGTCAAAATTGGTCCATCTTTCCGGAAAGACAGACAAACAGATAAGTTGTATTTTCATTGTAGGCAACGCCAATACATCATGTTGACGATTTTTACATGATTTTCTACACATCCCAGTTTTAAATAATAAAATATTGTGTTTATTACCGTTACTTATTTACTAGAGCAGTTCTGATAGCCTTTTTACCCTCGTGCAGCCTATCATGGCCGGACCATAATATTTCAATTTCCGTTCAGATGAGTTTCTAACACAGTTACCTCCTCTCCCCCTCCCCTCCCCGCGACCTGTCCCAAGCAATCTTAGAGCAAATTATGAAACCGCTACTACGATAGAGCTATAAGTTGCTTGATATTACTTTTAGATTTACTATAAAATGCGTGCGCTTAAAAAAATAAGATAATAGAAGTTATTTTTTTAAATGTCACCTAGACTTTACTACAAATTTAACCCTACTAGATGTCTATTTAAGTAACATTACATTGGTACATAATTTGGAGAAAACTTTCACATGGGAAAGG